GGGGAAAAAAATAATCCAAGAAAAAGAAAAAAAAAAAAAAAAAAAAAAAAAAAAAGGCCAGAGTCTATATTTTAAGACAAAAACTGTAAGAGAGATAAAGGACATTATATAGTACTAAAGGGGCTAATTCACCAAGAAGATTTAACACTGATAAATATCTATGCACTCAACACTGGAGCATCCAAATGCATGAAAAATTGACTGCTTAATCTAAAAGGAGAAAGAGATTGCAACACAATAATTGTTGGAGTGCTTAACACTCCACTGTCTCCTCTGGATGGATAATCTAGACAAAAAATAAGCAAAGAGATACAGTATCTAAATGATGTGTATCAAATGGACTTGACAGATATCTATAGAACTTTCCATCCAACAACCATAGATACACGTTGTTCTCATCCCTTCATGGAACATTTTTGAAGATTGTCCACATGATAGGGTACAAAACAAGCCTTTACAAATTCAAATGGATAGAAACTATTGGGTTGTTGGAAAGTAATGACACATTTTTGCATAGAAAAGCATAGAAAAATATATCATGACTTTCCTGACAACCTAATATATCTAGCATCTTTTCTGGCCACTATGAAATTAAACTTGAAATTAACTGCAGAAGAAAAGCCTGAAAATACACGAGCATATGGAAACTAAACAACCTACTCCTGAATGACCTCACAACCACTGAAGAAATTAGGACTGAAATAAAAAGATTCATTGAAATCAATGATAACGAGCACATGAGTTTTCATTATACCTAAGGGACACAGCAGAATCAGCCGTAAGAGGGAAGTTCATAGCGATTAGTGGTCACAAGAAAAAAAGGAGGAGTGGCAAATAGACAACCTAACAACATACCTCAGAAAACTGGAAAAACAATATCAAAAGAGCCCCCCAAATACCAGGAGAAAATAAATAATAAGTTTTGAGCAGAAATAACTTGAATAGACAATAGAACTAGACAGAAGATAAATGAACCCAAAAGCTGATTGACTGAGAAGATAAAAAAAAAAAAACCTGACACACTGTTAGCTAAAGAAGAACCAAGAAAGGACCCAGATAAATCAATCAGCAACAAAGCAGGCAGTATTACAACAGACATAACAGAAATAAAGAAGATCATCCGAGAATAATACGAACATCTATAAGACAGCCTGGATGAGATGGATACATTTCTGGAAATATATAATCTACCAAGACTGAATCAGGAAGACATAGAAAGCCTGAGTAGAACAATAACAAGTGACAAGGTTGAATCAGTAATAAATAGCCTCCCAGTGATTGTACTTCCAATTCCACAAAACCTTTAACTTATACTACTTCTAAAGATCCAAAAGGAAGGAGTACTCCCAAATTCATTTTATGAAGCTTCTATTACCTTCATTCCAAAATAGACAAGCACATCACCAAGAAATAAAACTACAGACCAATATTTCTGATGAATATGGTTGCACAAATTCTCAGCTAGATACTATCAATTGAATCCCTTGACACATTAAAAAGATTATACACCACAGTCAGGTTGGTTTATTCCAGGAATGCAAGGGTGGTTCAACATACACAAACTGTAAAGTAATATTAGTACATTGAATCCATAGAAGGAAAGTTAGAGACAATATGATCATATCAATTGATGCAGAAAAAACATTTGATAAAATCCCACATATGTTCATGATTAAGACTCAGCAAAATGGGCATAGAAGGAACTTTTTGCAACACAATAAAAACAATCTATGAAAAAAAAAATGAAAGCTTTTCCACTAAAATCTGGAGCAAGACAAGGCTGCCCACTTTCTCCACTCCTTTTCAGTATAGTGCTGAAAGTCCTAGTCAATGTAATCAAACAAGAGAATAAAATAAAAGGCATTCAAATGGGAAAGGAAGTTAATTTATCTCTATTTGCAGATGACATGCTTATATACATAGAAAACCCGAAAGAATCCACCCCCCCAAAAAAAAACCCAACTTCTGAAAGTGATAAACTCACCAATAGTAAACAGACCAAGGTAGAATTGAAAGAAGCAATTCCATTTACAATAGCCACAAAAGAAATAAGATACCTACGAATAAACCTAACCAAAGAAGTCAAAGACTGCTACAAGGAACACTATGAAAAACTTACGTAAGAAATTGAAATTGATACAAAAAAACTGGAAGAACATACTATGTTCTTGCATTGGAAAAAATATAATCAAAATGACAGTTCTACCCAAATTAATCTACAAATTTAATAAAATTCAATCAAATTATCAGAGATGTTCTTCATGGATTCAGGAAAAACAGTCATAGAATTTTTCCGGAATCATAAGAGACCTTGTATTGCCAAAGCAATATTGTGCAGGAATATTGGAGAAGAAGGCCTCTCACTCCTTGACTCCAAAATATATTATCAAAACATCATGATATTGGCACAAAAACAGGCCTGTAGACCAATGGAACTGAATAGAAACCCTAGAAATAGACCCCCCAAAATACAGTCAATTTATTTTTGACCAAGGGCCCAGACAATCCTGTGGGGAAAAGAACATTTCTTTAGTGAATTTATTTCTATTTTCAGATGACCCCTATTTCTCCCCACGAACTACTAACTCAAAAATCTATCAAATATCTAAAGCTAAGACCTCAAACTACAAAACTACTAGTGGGTAGCACAGGGGAAACTCTTGGTGACATTGGAGTAGGAAAGACTTCTTAAATAGCCCCCAAAGCCAAAACAGAATGGTTATGTGGGTAGAGGAAATGGAGTTCCTACTGTGTATCGTTTTCACACAGTTATAAAGAGCCAAACCATCCTAATTGAAGACTTTGTGTGTAGGTCTATCTAGCAATCTTTCTACTGATTTGACTGATCGAAATTGATACTGAGGATTATTCTAGGGAATTGGCTTGCACACATTGCGGACTGGCAAATCTGGAACATACAGAGTAAGCCAGCAGGTTGGGGACCCCGAGAAAAGCCAAGGTGGCATCTCGAGGCTAGACTTGGTCTGCTGGCAGAATTCCCTTTCTCAAGTCCTCTGTCTTTTGCTTTACCCAACACTTCAACTGATTAGATGAGGCCCGCCTGCACTGCAGAGGGAAATCTGCTTTACTCAAAATCTATTAATTTCGATGCTAATCCCGTGTAAAATTACCTTCACGGCAGCACCTCTACTTGAGTGTGACCAAATATCCGGGTACTGTGGCCTACTCATCTGGACACATACAGTTAGCCACCACACAAGGCGATCTAGGTGTGGCCTCCTAGCCTCTATTCACTTCACACTGACGGGATAATGTAGCTCCTATCTTACAGGCTGGGGAAGGGATGAAAGCAGATCATGTCTTGTTAACAGCCGTGGCATTGCCCAGCTCGTATAGACAATGGTCTTTCTTACTCCTACCATGAGTCTCTCCAGAGGGAGGACCAAGGGGTAGCAGAGAGTCTGGGTGCTGAGCATTTCCTGCCCCTTCCACACCCCTCTCAGTAGGGGGGCAGGATACTCCTGAAGGAGGAGGACCCCTTCCTATTCTGATAACCTGTGGCCCTGCAGGTTATTCCTACAACAATGGAAGGGAGTTGAAGGAGTCTACTATGCAGAGGTCACAGTTGCACAGGGACTGCTGAATGGAAGTGGAGGTGAAATCCAGACTGGAAATGGAATTCTGGGGCAGGATACTCCTGAAGGAGGAGGACCCCTTCCTATTCTGATAACCTGTGGCCCTGCAGGTTATTCCTACAACAATGGAAGGGAGTGAAGGAGTCTACTATGCAGAGGTCACAGTTGCACAGGGACTGCTGAATGGAAGTGGAGGTGAAATCCAGACTGGAAATGGAATTCTGGCTTCTAGTAGGTTTAATTAGCCCATCACGGCTGTGGTTCCACACAAGCTCTGGAATCAGAAAACAAAATCTTATTTGTACCAGGGAACCAACGAGCTCCTTGCTGTCTACAGGCATGAGTGGTGTGTGTGCATACATGCTGCGTGTGTTTGGCTTTTGTTCCAATTTCCTTGAAATAGTTAGAGATAATTTTGTGAGATTAAAAAAATGCTTATTTCTTTGATAAATGCAAGACCCAGAGACCTTCTATTTTAAGCAAAATTAGCTTGCTTTTTTTCATAAAGAAGAAAAGGAAAAATATTGCCCATCATGTGTGTGGCCTGAACACAACCCTGAAAACATCTTAAAGGTTATTCATCAAGGTTTTTTAAAAGGAAATATATTGTTCTTAATTATTCTTATCTTCTTATTATATAATACTTGGTGGATTTCTTTTTTAACCTATAATCGTATGCCAAAAGAGGCCATTCGGGCTCATTTTTATTGGTAGACTGAAACAGAAACCAAATACACGGGACTACGTTTACTAATTTAAAGTCTACTCTCTATTACTTTTCCTTCCAACTTGAAAAGAAATTTTGTGCTACAGACTGATGTGTGGCCAGGGTCAGCGGTGCTCCCTGCAGGCCGGTGGGGAAGACCTGAGAGAATTCTGGACCA